CACCCATTCAAGTGTTGTTATTGTAAATGTCATTCAATTTTGCACACCGAAGCGCTTTTGGTAACATGGGTCGCTTCTCTTTGTTCGTTATAAATCCTATTAATTAAATCCAATTTGAATTTTTTATGCAATACCACAATGTCCCGACACAGTTTCAGTAACAATGCTTGGTCTATAAAAAAGCAATAACAATGAAAGTGATGTGAAACGGCACTTGGCTGTACGAGACGCTCTGGTTTAGTCGATGAAAATCATTTTCCACCAATGATTAAAGTGTGGGCGTCTCTGATTTGACTATAGTCTAAAGTTATGTATTTTATTCATGCATAAATTTTCATCATACACAAGCCACTTATAAGATTCACCACATTGGTTTTATCACGTTTTGATTAATTTTCATTAGATTTTGCCGGAGTTTTTGAACAAAATTGTCGAATGAAGGTTTCTGTTTAACTTGATTGTATGTTAAATCGATAAAAGGGCAAAAAAAATTATATTTTTTCGAAACGAATACCAAATAACTTCAATTTTATTTTGTTAAGAATTTAAATATTTTGGAGTAATTTTGTTTTCAATCCGTAACCTAATGATTTATTCATTCAAAACATATGAAATGTTACTTTCACTACTTTCGCTACACCAAAAACAAAAAGAACAAAATATTTTTCACCTACTATCCATGGATAGAATGTACGTGCAACTAAAAAGAGTAGATGTTGTTTCGCTATCTTTGTTCAATGGTAGAAAAGCAACTAAACGTTGGAAAAGCTAAAATCGACGTACATGTAAATGTGTATTAGTGGTGCCTTCCAATGGCATCACAAAGCATGCGCGACCGAAATTCATGCTTTTATGTCAAACCACATGTTTCATTGGAAATAAAGAGATATACAACTTATGATAAATATGACTCAGGTACGCGGCAAACTTGTAAAACCATGTGTTGTTTGGAAAAGGGGTGATTGCAATACGTTGCCGAAACAATGTTGACCGAAAATTCATTTGTATGAGTAGAAGAACTGTTATTCTCTCGTCTATTATTTGTTGGCGTCTCCATAATCTGATTCATGTTCATGCCCTGTTGTATGATAAAATAGTAAAATAAGCCTAAATTTTCGCTGTTTTCAGGAAACATACATCAAATAATTTTATCCATTCTTACCACTCGAAATTTTGCATTTTTGTGAATATAGCAGCATTGATGGCTGAGTGTATCCTTTATAGTATAAGCCGTTGCAGATTGAGTGGATGGGTAGTCAAATTCCGATCGATGTTTAATTTCAAAAAATCGTTTATTGTTTTTTTTTTCGCGAACATCAAAACACGGAAAATGTTTACCCGAAATTCGTAAATCACCAAATTATATCTCATTAAAATGTACAAAATATGTACAATTCAAATCAACCATCAGATCTGATCAGTTTTAGACAGTAAGCCGCTTGCAATATTATTCTTAAAATTATTAATATGGAATGAATAAGTCGTGTATTTTACACAATAGGTTTTCTTGAACTTGTCTTGTGAAACAGTTGAATTAATTTTTGAAAAAATAAACATGACTGATTTTAAGTGAATATTTACTATTTCTAGATTGCGATATTAAAAAAAGAATTCAGAGTCCGATCGTGGCCAATACAAATCCATGCAAATAACTCCAAACTATACATAAACACTTTTAAAATGAATGTGACTTCTTTGGACTAAACATGTAGTAAATATAATTTATTCATTATTGATGAATACTGATGTTTGCATTTACCAAAAACGGCAATGCTTCTTCAAAATTTTGAGTTCAAATATGATTAAAAAAAACAATACATTGTTATTTTGAATGACAAAGCATGAATATCATATTTAAATTGGAAAAAAGTCCCGTGTCAACGAACTTCTGTACGAGGTAAACAGTGGATAACGAATTTTCTTAACTGTAGTCTCTAACTTACTAACGCATGTGAAAGTGGCAAAATACTTATTACTTATTTGTGCTTATTTGTCGCACATGGCGTGATCTTCTGAATGTTAGAAAGATAAGAAATTTGAAAATTTACTTCTATTCAAACTATGTTTGAAATTAGCTGTGTATTTGATATGTTTTACTTTTAAACGGTGATAAGATTGTGTTAGAAGTTATTAATTTAATGATAAAAAAAATCGTATCGATCTCGTGCAAGCATATTGAATAAAATTAAAGTACAAGTACAACTTTGTTTACAATTATTCTAACGCTTTCCAAATTTTAATACATTGAATTCTTTTTTCTCCATTCCCTTCTGATGAGCGATGCAGTATTTTATATGGGGCGAATTTCAACAATATAGTATTTAAATTATAATCGACATAAGCGTCATAACATATTGTCATATAAATGTATTCAAAATTCGATATAAATTGTGTAAGGATATGTGTTTGTGAATAACAATCTTGAAAAGCAAAAGAAAAGCCATTTCAATTATTGACTACTCTACTCTTGCATAAACCTGTAAGTTGAAGAATTGAAACAAAAAATCATTGAAACAGTTTTCGTTTGTCGCTATCTCTTTTGCTATCTCTTGTGCTGAACACTCTCAAATCCTCAAATCCTAAATGAGTTTTGAATCTCAAACATAGCTGGGCAGACAGGGGGAGGGGGATTACCCCCTGAGACATCAAATTTTTGCGTTACCCCTTTACAAAATTCATGATTTTGGATAGAATTTTTCTCATTTTGCTAGGGTTTTTGGATCATAGATGAAATTTTCCTATTTTGCTTGGAGTTTTTGAGGAAATTAGCCCCCCAATCCCCCCTGGTGGTATCATCGCTCATATTGTTTATGTTCGGCTCCTATGGTTGTGGTCGTGATCGAATCGACAATGCAAGACTCTAGAACCTTCGACCTATGTGAATACATAAAATTAAACAAAGCACACGAAGGAATATATTGCTGAAGATATATTCAAACTATTTCGAAGTATTTTTTTTACTCGAAACAAATAGAACGCATCAAAACATTTGTAAACAATGAGGTAGTTTGCATGTAATTTTACCATTCAAATGCATACAAAATTCAAATTTTATTTGCATTTAACAAATGAATAATTTAATGAAGAGGCACTTAAAATTGTATTGGACGCATGATCATTTGATACTAGCAGTGTAATAGTTTGTGGTTATTTGTTTATTTGAATCAAAATAAAGTGAATGTCTATCAATATTGTCCAAACTACAAAAATATTGTATTTCGGTTATATTCAAACACTTATACAGTCACAATTTTATTCAACTTTGGAGTCAGCAATATCAGTAACACATCGAACGCGTGAAGCGGACGTTGCTTATCTAAAAACGGAAAATATTTAAAGAAAGTTAGATAGTTGTTAATTGAGCCATAGTGAGTTTGTCATTAGATTGGATTTGAGTTCGTTTATTTTCCTCATTTCTTTGAAAATGTTTGCTCAAATTTGTAAACATTCAAGTAATAAACGTTTTTTTTTTTTTTTTTTTTAAATTAAATGTAACAACGCCAATTGAGTTTCATTATTTTCATTAACTTTCAAAGGGTTATTCAACAAAAGATTTCTCTCGATAAGGGCATACAGCAGTAGACAATATGTGGTAAGTGAAAATGGAAGAAATTCTTTTCTTTCAAATCGCTAATAAATATTTTGCAGGGACCTAATTTGGAAAAAGTGAAAGTGTTACAAAAAAATCACGTCGCGCCATGCCACAAACCAAGTACGCGATCAATTTAAATAGATTACTTAAAGTGAAATAATTGAATACTTTTCTCTAATAGTATATCAGGAGCCACTTTTAATAAATAGTGGAAAAATGCAATATCTTTACGATGCGAATGGAAAGTGCTATTTGGATTGTTTTGGTGGCATTGTAACTGTTAGCGTTGGTCACTGTCATCCATATGTTGTGGAAGCTGTTGAAAATCAGCTACGAAAATTGTGGCATACAACAGTAATCTACATGAATCCATCTCTGAGTTTATATTCGCAAAAACTTTCCAGAAAATTTCCCGGCGACTTGAACGTAGTGTACTTGGTTAGTAGTAAATATTTTATTGGGATATTTCATGTGAATAAAAACTTACTTTACTGTGGCTTAGGTGAATTCTGGGTCTGAAGCGAACGATTTAGCTCTTCTTTTGGCACGTTTATCCACAGGAAATTACGAAATGATCTCATTACAAAACTGTTATCATGGAATGTCTTACGGAACCATGGGTTTAACATCAAGTTCAAATTGGCGGTTTCCTATTCCATCAGTGAATAGTGGTATTCATCATGCCAAAAATCCCGATCCATTTAATGGACGCCATGGTGGACGGTAATTTGATTTTAATACATTTTCGACACAAAATCAATGAAGTAATAATAAATTTTGATGAATTTGAAGATTTTGCCGAACATCTCCGATTCAAACAAATCGTAACTGCGGCTGCATCACCGGAGAATGTAAAGCAACGGACATTTACTTTGAGGAATTGAAAGATATTTTCAAGTATTCCATCCCGAAAGGCAAATGCGCTGGAATGATTGCAGAATCAATACAAGGCGTTGGCGGTATAGTACAGTTTCATTGATTTAAATATTATTTTCATTTTTTTTGTTCTTCTCCATAGGTACCGTACAATTTACGAAAGGCTACATCAAAAAAGCATCCGAACTTGTTCGAAACAATGGTGGCGTTTTCATTTCGGATGAAGTTCAAACTGGTTTCGGTAGGTTGGGCGACACTTTTTGGGGATTTGAATCTCATGAGATTGTGCCCGATATTGTTACGATGGCCAAAGGAATTGGAAACGGATTTCCATTGGCAGCTGTTATAACTACACCGAAAATTGCAGAGTGCTTAACACAAGCGAGTCATTTTAACACTTACGGAGGAAATCCATTAGCTTGTGCAGCTGGTTTGGCTGTTTTGGAGGTTAATGAACAATTGACTTGTTGAATGAACATTTTTTTAAATTAAAATTTCAATTCAAAGGTTATTGAAAAGGAGGGGCTTCAACAAAATTCAAAAGAGGTTGGAACCTATTTCTTAAAGTCGCTCGAACAATTGAGAAGTGTGTATGAAGTCGTCGGGGATGTTCGCGGACAAGGCTTAATGATTGGTGTTGAATTCGTTGAATCCAAGGAATCACGTACACCATTAGCAAAAGAAAAATTTCAACAAATTTGGAATCGAACAAAAGACTATGGAGTATTATTTGGATGTGGAGGTTTTTCTGGAAATGTCTTACGAATAAAACCACCGATGTGCATTTCAAAAGAGAATGTTGACCATGCAGTTGATGCCCTAGATAAATCAATCAAAGACGCTGGATTTTAACTAATTCATCAATGTTCAAAGGATTATGATTCAAAACTTTAAAATAACAAACAATTTTTCTTTCAATGTCCAAAAGATATTATTTTGAAATCACAAGAAAATTCCTGCTTTCAACTTTTTTAAAATGTGCTTTTCATTCATTTTAATTATTGTTATATGGTGAATATTTCAAAAAGTTCAAGAAAAAAAATGCTAATAGAACTCAGAATTGAACTTGAAGCCAAGTGGCAGATGGTCACATCGAATGTTAATACATTTTTCTTCACACAAATGAACACTGAATATCAACTTTCTCCTTCATCGATTAAAATAAATATTTTGGTTTAATTTTGGTTTTCAGTTCGTTGTCATCAACGACAGTGTTTAAATTAAAGTTTTGAAAATATTATTTCCCATACTATCGATAGATGTAGAGTGCGTACAACTCAAAACGATAGAAACGATGTCAATTTCATTTATATTAGTAGAGAAACTCATTCACGTTATTTGTTGGCGTCTCCACGTTCTGACTCATGTAGCATGGTCGTATGAGAAAATAGTAAAATATTTCGACAAAACTGAGTACACTTGCTCCTACAAATAAACCAGCTGTGCCTCCCATTGATACGACAAGATCCAGTTTTCCTCTTATTACATTACGTTTATATCGCTCGGTTGGCAAGCTAGCAAGTTCAATTGATACCTATTTTTTTAAGGAAAAAATGACTCATTGAATGAATAATATTTTGAAATTGTCTCATTACCATTGACAATGGGCTCGAATGACCATATATGCTGTAAAAGAATAGAAATTTCAACATTTCTGAATGAATAAAAATGTAAGTTTAATTTATTACTTATCGCGCGTGTCATGGACGACTGAGAAAATAAATAAATTATTTTTATTATTAATTTTTATATAATCAATTCGAAATATTTGTTCACCTGAAATATCAATCTCACTACACGATGGCAAACAATCACAAACGACACCTTTTTTCCCAATAGACCATTTAGCAATCACAACTGATAATTCCTCATAATGGTCATTCAAGCATCGCAAGCCTTCAAGATGACAATGCTGTGTGACTGGTACATTTGGCTATTTTTTAAGAAAAACAACTACTCATTGAATGAATAATATTTTGAAATTGTCTCATTACCATCAAATGGTTTGTACAATTACATATACGCAGCTGCTTATCTTTCCGACACTGAACCGAACATGCACTATAGCTATAATAGTTGTGAACATCAAGAATATTTTCATCGCTATAGCGACAATTTCGCTGTTCAACGCTCACATCACGAGTCAATGGATCATTTTCGATGTTTTTAACGGAGATTGTTCGTCTGAAAATTGAATTCGTTTGATTGATTGCAATTAGCAAAAAAAAAATCAAAGTTTAAAGTATACAATATAATTCAAAACAAATAGATCGAGATGATCAAGAATTACGTATAAGAAATGTATGGGCCGACGGCCAAAATTTCTGATTTTGGGGTCACTAGGTGCGGCACCTCTTCTTCCCCAATTGTAAAAATATTGGATTCCGTTTTCAATTCCATATAAAGTTTTCCCGGTCCGGTGTATTTGTTCGAAAATGTATCGAGTCTCTTTTTCTTCCCGTTTGACGACCTATTGATATGGACAAACAGACCCATTTAAATATTGATATCAACAACGACATTGAACTTGTCAATTCAAATACATTTGGCTCATTTCGGCATTTTCGTTTCAGAAATTAATCTTAATCTAGGCATTTCTCTCTTTTTTTTCGCTACTTACGCTTCGGAATGAATTGAGTTTAATGCATAGCAAAGGCCGACTTCAGTTTGTATCGGCAAAAAATATGAGCAACAATCAAAATGTTCGCTGTTCCATCTACATATACTGAATATTTCATCGCAACTGCTTCGAATCATTTTAACGAGGTCGGTAAAATTCATGGTGAGGCAATCAAATTCAAATTCAGGTCCGCACTCACGAATTGCATGATACGATTCACCACGAAAGAACGTTAATTCATTCAGTATTTCTTCAAAAGTAAAATCATGATCGGTGCCCCAAATTCTGGTAATTATCAGAAATCATTTTCAATCAAAAAATGAGGGAAAAAAAAAGAAGTAAAAAAAATTGCAGAAAAAAGAACGTCAAATAAGTGAAAAAGAATGAAATTTTACTTATCGGCCACTCCTTGAATTTTGTCATTATTTTTCGATTCGCAAACAACAACGGACGGAAAGTTGGTTGTCCAATCGCGATATGAGCTTTCAACCACAAAACTAATGGCATTATGATAAAATGCGTCCAACGCAGACATGATTAAAAAACCGGAACCAATCCAGCTCAGAATTATTGCAAACAACCAGAATAGTCGCTCGACAAACGAAATTTCGTCATCGATTAAAAATTTGACACCATGTAACGACGAATTTTTCATATATTCTTTTAAAATATTGTAATAACGACCCATTTTCACCAATTCTATTTGTTTATTCGTTTGAAATTCGACTCTATTCTATATCAGAGCTACAATTCAAAAATACGTTTATTACCAAAAACCAAAATCAATATATATAGATCACCCCAAAATCCGCCTTTATATAGTCACAAAACCTTGTCGATAGCATCACATTGGCAAGCACAAAATATTTGGTGCAATGTTTATTGAATAATTAATGCTGACTGATGATGATGGTGACGTGATATTCAATATCCAGTGTCCAGTAAAATGCAATTAAATCCATGTTCTATACCAATTTCGAGTGGATTATTCAATTTTGATGCTCTGACACATACCACCAACGTATGCACGTTTGAATGAACCATTTACTGTTTTGATATAATCGCATTTTCCGAATTCAAAACGCCTTTTAGCTGGCTAAACAAAACGTAATTGAGGAATAATGACTATTACATTTGATTTTATCACATGGGATGAATTGTGTTTGTATTACATGTGATTCATGTAATAAATTGGATAATAATTTGGCTTTTCAAGTGTCAGATTGTCACAGTAACATCGAAACTATTTGCTATAGAATATCAGACGTTGTATTTATAGAGAAACATTGATTCTATCGTCTTACCCAACTGTACTAGCTTTTTTTTTTAACTGAATATGCAACGAATGTAAAAAAGAACCATTCAGGCATTGTAGATTTATTTCTTGTGAATGAAACCAATTTTGTAAACTTACTTCAGACGGCTGTTGTACGTCGTTGAACGAGAAAAAAACGGAATGATATAGCTGGAGTGTAATGAACACATATGTCAGGGGCTCAAGATGTATAAACGCAATCCAATCAAATACATTATTAAATAATCGCATCTCAAAGATTGAGTCAAAAAGTAAATTGACCTTAACCTATTATATTCCATCTTTTATTCGATTGAATTCACTATCACTTGGATCGACTTGCCTTATCTCCAATGCTGTTCAATGAAATTTAAATCAAATTCTCTTTCAACTTTAAAATCGTCTCTTCGAGCAAATTCATTAAAGTTTTATCCAGTTTCTCAAGAGGCACCACTTTTAAGTCCAAAGAATAAAAAAAGTGAATCAAATATTTGCATAAATCTTGAGAACCAAGCGTTTCATTTTTATTATTCAAAATTCTTCCATATCGATGAAAATGTTTTTTTTTCTCATGCAGTCAAAAAGTAACTGTAATTTCCAATTGTACTTACAATATTAAAAAAAAATATGAATTGTTTTTGCTTAAAAAACGAAAGCAGGTGATATATTTTCAATGTTTTTAAAAAAATGTTACAACAAAGTTCAATCGATGAATGCTGCATCGGATGCTTATTCAATATACTTTTTTATTATTTTTCATTCCAACGGGGCCGATTTTCATTGGCATATGATTCAATCATCGTCATCTGAGTGCATTTGATTGTCTTCATCATCATCGGCGTCATTTTGTGGGCGTTGTGGTTTAGTCGTTGTATCCTCTTTAACCAGCAACGATTTCAGGAAACTTGTACAAAACAGATTCATCGGTGCCATGGTGTGTGCCTGCAGTGATGTCAACTGAAATGACACGCAAAAAAAAACAACGCAATTTTTAATTAATACTTTTGTTGTCAATCTGCCACTTACACGAGTATTTGTTATCAATATAAAAAGAAACAAATAAGATTTAACACATCCCGTCTGCTGTTGACGGAAATAATGCAATATTTTATGAAAGAAAGCACGTTGCGTCAATATTAGAACATTTATTGCGTAAACATGTTATTGAGTGTACATATTTATGTGAAAACCGATTACGTGAAAATGAGTTGAATTGTTTGGTAAAGTCTCATCAAAAGTTCCACTAAATGCAACAAGGTTTAAATGAACGAAATGCGTCGTATATTCACAAAATATACAATGAACCAATGTATAAAAGCAATTTAGTTTGCTAAGGTTTGGTATAATTCCATATTATCAAAAATATTCCGCGGGAATCGATTCCTTTGTTTGTCCATTCAATGGAAAAAATATCATGTGTTTGTGTCAACAATTTAACGTAATTGAGTGTAGTAAATGGAAATGATCAACTGAAATGCATGCTCGTATTTTAGCACGCAAAATTTAGCTAATAAAACCAAATTATATAAAAAAGAAGTGGACAAACAAACGCGTATCTTCTCACACGGATAAAGTTATTGAGCGCAATCTTGATACGGTCTTGATCTGATACATCTTATACGAATACAAAACAGAAATGGGACGATGAACTCAATGAATGACATCGCTGAACCAATATGAAAATTAATGATCTTTTTACGGATCCCGTTGCATATGCATTGCTTTGAAGTGCAGTTTTCCAAATATCGTGCACGTGATTGCACACCATTATTATCAATTGAATGTGATAATTTAATTTTTCATGCTCGCACGCGTACACACACACACACATTCTAGCTCAATATGGACAATGTCATCTCGACACTTATTGTATTTTCAAGAATTCGTGAAAGAGAAAATATGAAAATGATGCAATTCATATTCAAGAGATGTGCTAATCGTTGGATGGTTTGTATATAGAAAATCTGCACATTTACATTCGTGTGCATACAGCTCGTTCAAGAAAATCACCTGCTTTGGCAATTTTCAAATAATGAATTTTAACCCACACAACATTCTCTTTTGTTATCAATTCGTGCAAACTTAGATGAAGTGAAAGAAAAATATGCGTCGAACATTACATTAAATTAAAGAAGTTCACAAATTGTAAAAAATGAAACTTGGGGACGAAGCAGAATGTCATGTCATGTGCAATGATGTTCGGTATAACCGGGCATAACTCTGGATAATTTGGTTTTATGCGATCTATTATTTTTGCATCCACATCAATCTAAGAAATATTAAGTCGAAGTGTGCGAACATGTTGCTGAAGTTCTACTGCATGAATCGGGATCGTTACATTGTGCATTTCATGAATCAAAATATTAAAATATTTATTTATCATATGATATTGTAGCGAATGTAATTTGTCTCTCTTTAAAAGTCATTTTCGATGTACATGCAATACATTTGTTCGGTTTATTCTGGTGTGATCCAGAAAGCCGTCTGTATCACCGCATTAAATGATAATTTTTAATTGTTTTTCTAGCTAATTGCATGCACTTCCGACTTGCGTGTTTTTCCCATTTTTTAGACATTCAAACCATCAAGGCAATCCAAACACACACGATTTGATGCTCTAAATTTATAAGAAATTATCTATCAGTTAATGTATCGCACGAAATTTGTTTGTGTTCTTATAAGTCATGAGAAATTGCACGTAGACTCGCTTATCCTGTATAAACTATAGTATTATATAGTCGAAGTCGTGTTTTCCCCGAGATTTTTGCGCGACAAAGCTACGTATTTAATAATAATATTGTTAAATTAATATGTGTGGATGCTACGCGTTTGTCCAGCACAATCCATTCAAGTGGCAAAATATTGTGAGGCTCTAGTCTATCAGCACTGTTGACTACACGCAAAATAAATAAAATTGTGGAATGACCACAATGATCGTTTTATCGATGCAATTACTCGCACTTATCTATAGACTTCATGTATACCACGTACACAAAGTGTAGATTGAATCGTATTCGCAAACGAATAGAGCGGCTCTGGTCACAATGTTTTGAAATTTAAAGGGAAAAAAGAGAAAAAGAATTTCATAAATAAATGGATTATTATTACGATGCACTCAAAACGAAGGGAAATACGAAGATGGCATAAAAAGATTGTGTACAGTCATCAGTGTGTAAGCCTGATTTCCGTTTGAAACTTTTTTACTTTTAAAATATGATGAATCTATAAGAAATCTCATACTTTATTCATTGCACATGATCTATTGAGCGGCCCATTAAAACCACGATGGCGTAAAATAGAAAAGCACATACATTTTGCAGGTCATTCGGATAGGGAATTTGTTCCGTTATTTCTCTCTTCCGACGGTATTTCAGAGAATGAATAAAAAAATTCAACTCCTATATAGTACAATCAGGAAATTCCTCAATCTATTGCTGTGCTAGAATGTTATTGTAACATCACTTTATCTCTTGTACACACAATGATGTACATATGAACACACAGTGAATGCTATTGAACGTATACACACAATGTTAAGCGAAATGCAGCATTATAGGGTTTGAAAAAAACGACGGATTTTTTTGCCGCATTTTTCACTTTTTCTATCGCAGTCAAAACATTTATGCAAATTACTACCCTGTGCCATTGCGTGCATAAATACATCAATGAAATTCGTAACAATTCCGCGCGAGCACAGTTTGCATTATATGTGTGCGAGTTGTTCTCGAACGAGTGAACGCAGCGAGTGAACAAAAAAAATATATTCGAAACAGTAAACAATTGAGTTGTATACTCTATGAGTGAGTTGCTATATGCAGTGCACATATAAAACGAGTCAACACAACGGCAAACACTTCAATTCGACTTCAGCCATCCGATCGAACGTTTGCTCTCACTTTTAAGCTGTAAAATAAATACCAAAAAATACACATTTTTTTATTCAGTCAATTGCTCGAGTTCTAACGTGATTTGTGGTCGTTTTTTGCACAACTTTTTACTATTTTTGTCATCACCTTTTTCAATAAGGCTTGGAGCATTTTTCAGTGGAATTTAACTTCTAAACAAATAGTTTTCAAAGTAAAAGAAACTGTTTACAGTATTCAATCATCGAAGGACTTTTCCGGAACGGAAGTAACAAAACAAAAGGAATTTACAAAATGAAAATTTTGTCAGCCGTTGCAATTTTCATGTTGGTTACCATCAATTTGGTGGTGAACACATTTGGTGTGCCAGTTTCGCAGCCGCATACGGTAAGCTTAACTTCAGTTGCAAAAACGCTCCACGAAATCTAATAGAGTGTAATTATTAATAAGTTTTTCGTGTTTCGTTGAATGCACATAACATTTTCTTTCCCTTTCTCTCTCTCTATCTTTGTTGAATAGGTTGCAAAATCGATGATGGAAATTCCACAATGGCATTGTTTGCGCTACTTCAAGCACGACATACATTTGATGAGACGGTGCCGAAATTATCGTGTGCCAATGTTACGTCGACCAATCGAATAAATCCACCAAAAAATTCTCACCCTATTTTGGTTTTTTTACATTTAAATCTTTTTTGGATATATTTTATAAATATTTTTTCCCCCTTTCGATTTTAAACGATGGACAATTACAATGGATTTAATTTTTTTAACTCATTTTTTCTGAGTCGACATTACGAGAGAGTGTTTGTGAATGAGCGTACAAATTCAAAAGCGAATGTATTTTACGATTATTAGTTACCGTTTTTTTTTTTCATTGAGTTTTTAAGCGGAATTGTGAGCACACTGTTTTTTTATATTATTTATGTGAGAAGAAAAAGAACTTATGCTTATCCCCCGAATTATATGTGTAAAAAGTTAAATACTCATCTTTATCAATATTTTTATGTGAATGTTATCAATTAATATGAATTAATTGCGATGTATTTAAAATATTATTCATAATAGAACGTTGTTTGGATTTAAATCAGTTTTGAAGAATTCATTTTGAAATTACGTATTTTTTTTTTTTTTTTTTTTTGAAAATTGCGTTTCTTACTTATTTTAAGTTTTTCGATTTAGTTTGTTATGTTTCCAAAAATTTTGTTTGAAAAAAAATTACTATTTATTTTCTATTTAGTCAATGTCCGATATTGAATGGAATCTTAATTTCTCAAAAAAATACATGATTTAAATCCAAACGAATTCGATAGTTAATGACGCACATTACAATTGCTATTCAAATGGAAATTAAATAGAAAATACACTAAAATATTTATTCAAAAGTCTATTTATGCAAAACGACCATGCATTTTCCTTTCAATTTCCCAAACATTCTAGAAATTCAAAGTATCGAAACGGAAATCCTCTTCCCGATGTAATTAAAAACCCAAACTCAAATGAGACGAAAAAAAAAATTAAATCATATACCTCTTTAACGCTGTCTTTGCCTGGAACGCCAATTCCGTAAGTGACAGTGGATCGTTTGTCTTCGGCAATTGCATAATTGGTCTGTTGTTTTGCTATCATTGCGGCAAACGGTGTATTTGGCAATGTTTGCACATTATCACTTAAATAGAATGCATTCGAATTGTACGAATCTTCGTCGTTGGTTGATACAAGTCGTAGTAATTCCTAAATAAATGGGACAATAAATAAATAAATTGATCGCATTAAAATCAAAACCGATCTTTCTCGAGAATGGCAATAAAGCGGGTACCTGTTTGTCGCTGCTTAAGAAATAAAGTTCAGTATGGGCCTGCCAGTCAACTGTGAGCGAACGATTCCGTGGATGCTGCCGTGGAATCCATGCCAATCCATCAATTTTCGGTAATTGTTTATGTTGATACAGAGTGATTGGTGTGTTTGGCAGAAAAACAAATAAATCATGATTTTTCGCAACAATTGCAACCAAACTTGTGTACAAATCGACGTTAAGTTTTTCAACTGCCACTTTGAATGCCGATTGTATACGAAGTGTTAGTAAATTCCAGATTAATAATCGCTTTTCTGTACAAACAATGACTAAATGGGCAAATTCTCCGGTACAAAATGCAACGTGTGTTATATGTACGGTTGGTTTTTGTGGATGAATTAATTTGATTTCATTTTCTGCGGAACATTCTTCCATAATTTGATCATCAGTCACACCGTTTGATACGGTTTTTTTTGCTGTCGTTTTTGTACAATTTATGACACGCTTGAAGGCATCTAGGGTATGGCGACTTCGTTGCTTTTGCAAATTTGATTGATTATATTTGTGGGCGAATTTGAATTTCTGTTTCGTTGACAAATTCAACATTCGACCAAGAACATTTGTACACCTTAGTCCATTGTCGATTTGTTCACAATACTCCGTATATGATTTTTTTGACTTTGCCGGTATTCTGCCGTGTAAATTGAACTTGTCGAAAATATGAATCTTCTGGAACAAATTTATACTGTTCGAAGCTAGCACCTGATTGAAAATCATCTTTTTTTGTTCCTCCGACAAATTTGCGGGCAATTTTTGTTCCACGGGTTTCAATTTTTCGACACTATTTGTTATTCTCGTTACGGTAACCGCTTCGTCAGTTTCCAACATCGAACGAATTGCTGACAGTAACTTTTTACGCTTTTCAACAAAATGCTGACGTAGTGTGTCTAAATTTGTTTTATCGTTACTCTTTGGCAATGTGATTGTCATTTTATTTACACTGCCATCTAATCCGGACGGAGCACTCAATGCGCATCGCAAATGTAATGTTTCAGAATTGTAAATACATAAAGTGTTGCCGAAACCAACGCCCAACAATGATGTGTCCGAAGAAAATCCAAGTGATTTGATTGGTAAATTTTTGTAGCTTGCACGTGCGATACATGTCCACACTTTTCCTTTTTCTGAAATTGCCAAATATTTAATCAAATTCCAAATTTGTATTGGTAATGCACAACGAAAAAGAACATACTTTTATAATTTGGTGAATCTTCCAGTGCCCAAATTTTAACATCATATTCACCACTCGAAGCACATAGCAAATTGTCCACCGAATGAAGCGTAGAAAATTCTAACGTTCGAACCCCGTTTTCGTGTGGCAATTCAATTTGTGTATTCAAACTGTATTTTTGTAGTGCATCATCGAATTTCCAAAATTTCAAGCGACACTCAATGGTGTGCTCATGGTCGTCAAGAATTTCAGCCGTTGCCAACCAGTCTTCATTCAGGCTAGCATGAGACACATATAAATTGTACAGGATCTTTTCAGCTTCAATGTTCAATCGATTTTGGGCAGTGGTATCCAGCTGTAAATGACGAAAGTTCAATAGAAATTTACACATTCCTCCAAAAAAATAAATTCTTCTAAAGCAAGATTGCACTGTTGATTAAATCAAAAATCGCATGTAACTTACATTATACAACAATGTTCTTGTGTAAGTGGAGAAAAATTGCAAATGGCCGAGTCGTCCGTTCAACACCAGCGAATTTGTTCGTGGATTCACTTTCAATCCGATTGGAAATTTCGGAATGTTTGTTTTATCATATGGAATCCATGTAAAGTTCTGAATGACAGCCGTTACATTATTTTGTGCGTTAAAAATTTGAATGCCATTATCGTCAGTTGCCACAGATATTTTTCTATTTTCAGCTCCAATCACAATATGCACTGGTGTTCCTTGCATTCGAGGTACAAAGCCAATTGGTTTTTGTTGTCTGATATCCCAATGGCACAAGGTGTTCTCCAAACCGCCCGAATAGAAATTCGATCCGGATTCGGTGAATGTAACCGTGGTGACCGGAGTATGATGCCAATGATAGAGTGTGGTTTTTGGTTCAACTTTTCGGAAGATTTCACGATATAATAGAATGCGACCTTTTACATCTCCAGTGGCGACCACTTGTTGTGTTGGATGGCATGCAACGCATGTTAATAAATCGCCTTGAATATTTGTCCATAGTTTTACGTCACCGTTCACATAGTTGACACAATACAAAAATTTATCCTGAATCACGACAAAATAATTTTGACCCGGTGCAACAGCTGTTCGAACCGTCGATGGACTAAAAAACATAAATACAAAGTAAATACAAAAATTGATGAACACATTTGAACAAATCCAATCACTTACGCCAATTTAAGCGGCAATTTCACATCTTCTTGTAATCCATTCAACAAATTAAAAATGCCAATTTGCACATTATCTCTTTTTGTTCGACGCCATGTGATCAAACCATACGTTTGCGATGCATCTTTCATTGGTATCAATGAAAAGGTATTGATTTTCGGTGAATGGGCAGCTGAGATGCGAAGAAAATGTTTTTCATTGATAACACCAGATTTCCATTTCCATGAAATGATGTCACCCGATTCAGTACAACCGTAAAGTAACTTCGAATTATTTGGGTCACACTGAATGGCAATTATTTTTTTGCCGGAAATTCCTTCCAATTCACGAACATATTCGCCCGTCGTTGAACTGTACACCAAAATGTGATCGTGCGAAATGACAAATAGCGAACTAAAAACAAGAAATGTCCATCAAATCTTTTGCACAAAAAAAAACAATAACAATAAACTTACTCTCCGTGAGGTGAAAAGGTTGGTGGAAATTCAATGACACTACCACCAGCGATTCTCTGTAGTTTCAAATGTAGAAATGCATTTTCATCGATGGTTAAATCGTCTATAGTATCGTCCGGTTTGTTCGTCGTCATTTTAGTGTCTTCCTTTGAAAAACTATCGTTTACAAAGCAAACCATAGCATTTAGTTTTATGTTAATATTCACACTTCACCAATTTAAGAGAAAAAACAATGTGTGTTCAAACACACGGTATCGGAATGAAGTTTCGATGATTCTATTTTGTTGGTTATGTTTATATGATGTGACAGGCACGTGTGGTTTTGACATTTCGTTTTCGAATTTTCGAACTTCCAATGTGCGTTCGTTTCTTTGTTTGAGTTTTTGTGTTGTAGGTTGTGTGTATGTTCCGACATGTTTTGCAATGACGTTTTTAATGGAAAACGATGTATCACATACTACCTGTATATGATGATGATGCCTTACATTCGACACCCGACACAGTACATCCAATAGTTTAACGTATTCCATTGTATTACGTGTCTTTGTGTGTGCGATACTCGTTTTTTTTCTTCTTCTCTGTTTCTGTACCTAACCAAAACGTGCCAAGTTCATGGAAAACGAATTAAATACCATATATTTTAGATAAACGAGAAGACGAGCAAAAAATAGACGGTCCCTTGGCGAAAAAAAAACTATTTTGTATACAAAGTACTAGTATTGTCATTTTTGTGTAACGTCACCGACAAGTAAGTGAGTTGTGCTCAAAGGGAATTCATATATTTTATTTAGTACCTAGTAAATTGAAGGTTTCGCTGGTATAGTTTTTGATGTAAGTCGCAAAAATGAGAAAGTTTTTTTTTTATTTTCGTTGTGTGTCCCAATTTTTGATTTAATTCAACCGCAAATTGTGCATAAACAATTTCAATACAGAGATCTTGTTAAAAGTGACGCATCGAAGCTAAAAAGAGTTTATTAATTAATAATTAAGAAAAATTTGGTATTGAGTTGAGTGGTTTGGAAAATAAAATTTGGTAATGTTGTGGGCGCATTGTATGAATTGTCAAAAAAGTGGAATTTTGGTGTCGTCTTGGTACTAGATTGAGTCAACGAAAGATTATTTGCAAAATACAATCACATGCCGTGATAAGCGTGTCAATTATAAAAATTCCAGCGTTTTCTATTCATCGTTGCTCTTTACATCATGCAATTAAATTGATTAAATTCAGTTATTCTGCTGTGTAGTTCGTTTGGGTCATGTGCAAGCATTTCGTTCTTTATTGTTGTTCTAATCAATAGGTCGCATCGATTTTTTTTGTATGTTTTGTGCAAGCAGAACGATTCAAATTTTGGTATCATCAAGGGGAATATCATAAAATTAAATCGATGCCATCGCTTCAATTATTCATGGATTGATCGAAGTGACGGCTCAATAGTCCATCGATAGTGATTGTGTGTATTTGGAATTGACGCGTACAATAAATATATATTACAAGAGTGTGGCCGTCGTTGCATGCCTCATTCAAGTACAAGCGAACGTGTACCAATTGACCAGTTTAGTTTGTTTTTTTTTTCGTATTTCATTTTCTGTTTCTGTGTATAAACTTTCGCTTCATCGGGTTTATTGCCCATCGTTTTTCATATGCGATTTTCACATATTTCTTGCCTTTACATCATGCCTTCAGTTGTTGTTGTGTGTTGATTTGTTGTTGTTTTTTTTTTCATTGTGAATCCATTGCACTGCTAACGTTTACATAAAATTCAGTTTTGTATGGCTTTTTTTAATAGACACAGCATATTATTCATATTTATATTGTTCAAAAGTGAATTGAAATATTGTCTGGTTTTATACAAATATTTAAAAACGCAGTTTTTTTTCTTTTCTTTTCAATCTAGTTTAGTTGTTATTAAAAAAAAGTTGGGCAGTGTGTTTTACATTCGAATTGTGCACTCGTTTCGGTTGTGCGCTATGTGTGCTTTCTCAACTTTTACCTTCGTAACACACATATTCAGTATGTGTTAAATGCATTACCATTTAATTGCAATTTGCTGGATAATCTCTGTGGTCAGAGCCTATTTGCTTACGTTAATCGCAGATATCTGTGCCAACAATAAATTGCTTCCGCGTGTATCTCATTTTTCATCTAAAGTGAATGTTTCGTCGTTTAAAAATTTACCACAAATTTTGTACTTTAGATTATTGGCATTAAACACTGAACTTTACACAAGTGATCATTTTGTAAAATTACATTGACTGTGTTAGGACTTACATCATACTGTTTTTTTTGGTTTTCATTTTACAAAAAAGTCGTTATTAAAAAAACCATCTTGAGCAGATGGACGGTTGTAAAATGTCGATCGTAAAACAGCATTTTATACACAATAATGATGTTGTAAATTTTGGCATCAATTTAACAATAATTGTTTTTGTTTTGTCTTCTTTTTCAGCTTAGAACTATTCCGAAAACATAATCATACAAACCAACAACATCACCAATACAAAAAATAGAAAACATGGCCGATAATAACACAAATCAAGAGAGACCGCGGGGTTTTGAAGCACTCAAGCAACACATCATCGACAATAAAGTTGACGTTGCACTTTGGGCATCGCGTGTACTCACGATTCTCTTTGCGTTTGGATATGTGCTTCCGATATTCGGGTATGTATACAATGGCATCGCTTTCTGATGCGATCAATCTAATTCGTTGTTTTTTTTTTCATCCATAGAAATGCTCAAAATGCATTCTACAAAGTATTATTGGCAAATGCAGCCACCAGTGCACTCCGTTTACAACAGCGAATGCCACGTTTATCATTTTCGCGTCAATATTTGCAACTGCTATTGGTAGAAGATTCATGCCACTATCTCTTCTTCTCAACCATTTTCTTGTACGTCAGCCCGTTCATTTTGATTCTATTCCCAGTGGTTTTGTTCGCTATTTTGCACGCAGCTAGCTACTCACTCACTTTATTGGACGTAAGTGAATTTCAATTGAATTTTACATGTTCATGTTACTTGATACAATGAAATGACTTTTTAATTTTTAAATTTGGAAAATTGTAGCAACTTGGCCAAAATTCATGGTGGGGTGCTCGTCTTATGATTTCACTTGTGGAATTGCAAACAACAAATATCTTGCGATTGGCAGCATTGTCCGAAATTTTGTTGATGCCACTTGTTGTCTTCTTTGTATTTATGTAAGTAACCACTTGATCACTGTGGCAATAAAAATGAGGTGTCGAATTTCCATTTATTTTTTTTTATCTTTGATGGAACAGGGGTCGGGCCGGATTAATGACACCATTCATCTATTACCACTTCTTGGCATTGAGATATTCATCACGTCGTAATCCATACAATCGTAATATGTTCCATGAACTTCGTTTGGCCGCAGAATCATTGGCCAATAATCCACGAGTGCCTCCATTCGGCAAAAAACTATTATTGTCCGGCATTTCAATCGTTGAAAAATTGGCACCAGCTATTGCTCAAGCTCAACATTAACGACCACTTTAATCATCGTTTGAATGTAATTTTTTTTTTTCGTTTTTAATAATTATTTAAACAAAAAATCAACAACAACATAAGCTTATGCAATTGTAATTAAAGTGAGTGCACAAAAGAATTTTAGTTTTGTGTATCGGTTAAGGTTTTTCAAATGGTCTAGCTGGTAAGAATCACACCTACCTTAATTAATGTATGTTAAAAATAAACAATTTCGAACACCATGAATTTTTCAAACAACAATAAAATAATTACGACCTGAACAGGAGAGTTCGGACATTCAAAAATATTTTTAAAACATTACCTTTTCGCCGCGCGGTATCAACCTGGTGTTGTAATGAGATGAAAAATACAATAAACTCTAACTTTTCTATTAGAAAACCAAATCGACATATATTGTGTATTTATTTCAACTTGTACGTTATTTTTTATGTTTGTTTTGTCTTGGAAACAAGGAGTCCCATATGTCTGAATTTCTAAATGGATGGTTATTTATCGTGAATTTCGTATCGAATTCAACGAATTTCTCATCATCATCAAACTTCACGCTGTTTGCAGGTATTTCTAGACCGAAGTATGGATAACTAAATGGATAAGAGAAATTCAAAGTTGAAATTTGTTAAAAATAAATTCGAGAATCATTTACCCATTTTTCGCAAAACTGTGAAGTAACTTCGTATATTTAGTTACAATTTGACCTTCAGCACTGGACTCATCCTTGATTCTGGGAATGTTGGCTGCAGTAAATAAATATTGTAAATCATCGCAATGTTCTATCATATTTTTGGCGCTAAGTTCTGAAATTAATTGAATGGAGAACAAAGCAATTAAGTCCTTGTTTTTTACTACACAAATGTGTTTGAAAAAAAAACCATATATTTTTCGCAAAATCGACATTTTGCACTATTCACAAACATTTGTGCAAAAACTTTTCAATTCCGTGAATAAATCAAAAAAGTGTAAAATAATCATTATAGTAATATAAACTAGAGTTGTCAGATTTCGTTTCTCTTTGGTATTTATTACCTTCACATAATTGTTTATCAATTGTTGAGTTGCATTTGAATGAAGTATATTGCCCCCGAAAATTAAACTTCATATAAAAGACATCTGTTGCATCTCTCACGATTTGTGCCATTCGATGAAATGGAAAAATGATTGTTGAGTCCGAGAAACTCTAAATAAATTCTTCAAAATGATTAATCAAATAAATTGAAAGATTCAACCGTTACCTGAGCACACCAATCAAATAAATCAACAACATGTTCCTTATCATCAATCTTGTATGGTACATATCGCTCTTTCAATTGATCCGTAACTGTTTCATTTGGTTCATATTGCATGCAAATTGGTCCAACTCTTGAAAAATCATTCACCCACTCGGATAAAAGATTTCTGTGTTCAAACAAATACATGGCTGACATTGAGGTTTCATCTTTAGTGGAACTAATCATAACGGGAATTTTGTTAAATTTTCCATCTTCAAATAGCTGCATTGGATCTTCACTTAAAAATGGCTCTTCATCACTGGGCGATTCAACGATTGGCAACCACGGATACACCGGATTATCCCATCCAAATTCGAAAATCTTTCTCAAACTATCGGTAATTGGTGCTGTTTCTGTTTTCTTCACGCATTCAAATGAGTTTTCATTTTCAGGACAGTTGAGAAAACGGGCCAATTTTTCGATCAAATGTGGTTGTGACGATGGAGATTTTGCTTGTGGTAATATTCCGCCACTCATTATAAATGCGCGATGGAATAGATTATGCGATAGAGGTGATACAATATGCGCTTGAACGCTCATTCCACCAGCACTGTCGCCCATCAATGTCACAGAATTTGGATCACCACCAAAGTGTCGAATGTGATTATGAACCCATTTTAAAACAAGCGCTTGATCTTTGAATCCAGCATTCCCGATTGCCTCATTTGATCCGACACTTGTGAATCCAAAAAATGCGAGACGGTAATTGAATGTAACCAAAACTAAATCTTCTTCCAATAAGTACTCAGGTCCGAAATTGGCAGAGCTTCCGGAACCAACGTAGAAACCGCCAGGATGAATGAACACGATGACAGGCATCAAATTCACAATGTCCAATTTCTTTGTGTATACATTTAAATTCAAACAATTTTCGTCGTATGAAACGTTTGGTGATGGACAATCACTCCCATCTTCATTACGTAGTTGTTCAAATATCGCGGATATATTGTTCCATGTTTTCGATGGTCGTGGAGACTACAGAAACAATTGGACAAATTCAGATTCAATCGGTCAAATTTGCTTAATACCCACTTTAAATCGCAATAATCCTGTCGGTGACTCAGCATATTTAATCCCTCTGAAGGCATAAAATGAGCCATTTTTCCATGTTTTCCATAAATACTTTTCAAAATTAATGTAACCAAGTGAAGCTTGGACAAACATAAATAGCAAAATTAATTTCATATTCATTATAAACAACTTTGACTGAATTCTTTACAATTTTTTTTTAATACAGAAATAATCAGTTTTTTCTATATAAAATATTAGTTTTGCAAAAAGAAAAGCAGCAAGTTCAAAATTATATTCTAACGATCACTTAAATTCAGATTTAAACGTCGTTTTTTTATGTTCAAAGCATGTTGGCCTTTACACCGAAGCAACACAAACTGAAAAGTGTTACTGTTATATTCAATACGTTAAATCATCGCACGACGCAATTTAAATACATGATTCTGAAAGTTATCTCCATTTGAATTTTAATTTTTTCAAAGGAAACTTTTTCGCATTTCATACAGTTTTGATAACGAAACTGGAACAACCGAATGATAGAAGTGTAGTAGAGTTTTACATTTTTTAATCAATGATCATCATTTTAAAATTGTTCATAAGCTGTATGTATGCATTGAATGAATGAGTTAAAAATAAACCATTATCAAGTGTGTTAACACATTTTATTAACACGCTTGTGGTATACTTGATCTTTAATTGCATTAATTTTGAATTTGCATACTTGTAAATGTGAGTAAAGTGAATGATTCTACATTTGTCTGACAACTTGTTTTTCTCGTTCAGAAATTTACAAAACAACAAGTCTTTTGTATTTGTGGACATATTTTTACAATAAAATACGTATTTTAGCCACCAAAATCTGTTAACTGTTAATAAAACCACGATTTTTACAACAAGAAAAAATACAAAGAAACAAAAACGCATTTTTATTGACTAAAAACTTTATTATTATTTTTTTGCTCAAGACGAAATATTTTTAATTTGATTGATACTTAGTAATTTGAATCGAAAACTGCCTTTATACAACTCGATTAGTGTTGGTATCTCTATGTTGGTAACTTAATTCTATTCAAAATTTGAATTTCAAATTACTTTTTGTATTTCTTATTGGTTTTACAATATTTTTTGCGATTTCGATCATCGTAATAATCTTTAACTTCTCTTGGATCATAGTCTTCCTCATCACTATCTGTATCGTCGCTATCTTCAGCATCGCTATCCTCTTCATAATCGATTTGTTCTTTAAACATTTCGTCCAATTCACGTTCATACAGTTCACAAAATGCTTCAAATTCATTCGTAGATATGGCACAAGTTTTTTTCGCGAATTCTTCATCGCTGGCATTCATTATACGCGCGAGACGTGGATTTTTATTGGCATCCAATTCGGAAATGCGAAAATTACGTTTTTTATAAATACCCAATCGCGCCAATAGCACGTGTCTGGTTTTAATCGTTTTCAATGGCAGCCCCAACGAACCGCTTTTCACAAGATCCGTAACATCAGCTTCCATCGTATTTAAAATGTAATCGACTTTCTCTTTAATGGTTGTCATACTATCGACCATAACATTCGGACTGGCCATCAAAATGCGCCAAATATTTTTTGGTGTGAAAAAAATCTCTCTCAATTTTCCATAACGTTTGGCTATGTAACCACTATCATCAAAATCCAAAAGTTCTGGACATTGTGCGAATAAATCAAAGAATTGTGTTTGAGAGAATTGTGCCATATGCCACATGTCCAAACGTTTTTCAATTTCATTGGGTGCTAAACGCATTAAGTCCGGATGTGTGTTGATTATTTTTATACAATTTTCATGGGTGAAACCACTTTTATGGAATATATTGTACGTAGATTCAACCGAATCTCGGCCGAAGTATGCAACTTTTTCATTATCTTCAATTATTTTCGAAATCCAGTCGGACGATACGGCCGATGAAAAATTCACCTAAAACATAAGTTAATGGAGGTAATAACAGTAAGTTTGAAGAAGAAATCAAAGAAGTATATTACTCTTTGTAGATTTGTATTTACGATTGGCAATCGATTGTTTATGCTCCGCAACAGCAGGCTAAAGTGCCTTAATCGAAACATCTTTTTTGGCTCACAAACATTGAATGAGGTTAGGAACTTTTTGTTTTGATGTATTCTGTCATTTGAATCGAAAGTTTAGCACAAATGAGCATTTTCGAATGGAGCCGTACTAAAGTAAAACGAATACTTACAGATACATTCAATAGATGGCGTTGTGTATCAACATTCTTCGAATAATGGAAAATGCGTAATATAACAGCCTGGCTGTTAAACTGTTTTCTCATTTCGGTTGCAAATTAAATATTCATTTTTTGACAGCCATATGCTAGAAAGAGTTCCTTTAATTGACATTATTAACTTTACGCTTTCATATAACAGCTCCAACAAAAGTAATAAATTGAATAAAAGCAATTGTGTTGTTGTTCACCATCAACGCACACACTTTTCTTTTCTGTAGAATTTTTTTTACGAATCAATGAAAACACAATCAATGTTCCTTTTTTTAAATTTTTATTATTTCGTAAAATATCTTTATTTATGTGTATATTTCAAGTTTTATGCTTAGCGATTACTTTTAGTAATATTCTTATCTTTAAACAGTGTATAATAAAAAATAAATTGTCAATCAATTGTAATTCAATATATTTAATTTGATGAACTTAAGCGCGTACACGAAAACTAGACGACGATTCAAAAAGAATAAAATCATGAAAAAAACACTAAGTAGCAAAAAAGAATAAGAAATATGAAACTTAATAAATGCCTTAAATGTTAAAATCGAATTATATTTTATGTATAACTCTGCGTTTTACATATATATGAACGCTGGACAGATAAAATTAAAAAAAAAAAGATGTATTAAGTATTACAATTAAGTAGATTCGTAGACGTTTTTAAAATTGATGGCCAATAATTTTCATTGAAAATTATAAGAGTTTAAAAACTATAAATTTATACAATAACTAAATTAAACAACGTAAATTCATTCGATTCTGTTTCTTTCAATGAAGAAAAGTAGAAATGGACAAAAATTTGATACTTTTTAATTTTGTTCAAAATAAGAATGAGAACAGCCAGAATGATACTCGGAATTGATTGCCGTATGTTCAATTCAAATGGGTGGAATCCAGGAGCATACGTGGCCGATTTTAGAAAATTAAAAAGTATGGACTTTTTGTTTGCGGGTGGAGAATACGTGGTTTGTGGGTAGCAATAAGCAAACAATTTTCTTCAGTATCTATTTGCGTCTTATTAGCCACGAGACATTATTTTCGATTTTGTGTTACTAATTTTGTATTTTTCATTTTCAAAAGAAACCTATATTAAAATCAACAACAATGTTTTTTTCTGAGTATATATGTAAAAAAAATGTTCGCTAATGAAAAATAAATGATGAAAATGCAAATGGCAAGATCTGTTTTTTTTTCTTCTTCTTGAAAGTGGTGAATATGGTTTGTTCTTTTTTCTGTTTCGGATAACACACATAATTGCATAAAATTGTTTGCTCACACAATATACAGTATAATAATCTAGAGATTCAGTGATTTTCTGTTACTTTATGTTGTTGTTGTTTTTTTATTCATGTTCCTAAGTACTTGTTATTTATGAGATTATATCCATGATGGCAGGTGTAAAATAAACCTTGTATTACATTCATTTTACTCCACAACTTCAAACGAACCTCCTTTTTATTGTTTTCTTCTGTTTTTTCCTCTATCCATTTTCAACCCTTTTCCAGTTTTAACGGTATAATACAATTCTAAAACTTTGTACAATCGGTTAAAAATTAATCAATCTGCGTTGAAACAAGTGTGTATGTATCCCGTGAAGGGACAATTTGAAAGAAAAATGAATTTTCTTCTTACATCGATTTCTGAATACCGATGAAATAGTGAATTAGTTTAGTGGGTGGAATATTTAACTAGAGTTTAAAACAATTTTGAATTTCCGAATTGAAATTGATTCACGTATAAAAAAAAGTGTTGGAATTCGTTGAAAATTCTTTTTGAACACGAAACTAATGAATTATGTTTTTTTTTGGTTCCATTGTTTTAGATAGCCAAAGTTGAGTCAGTCGGCAAGCGATTTTGAACTGGACATTTTCATTTTAAAATAAGACATGACTTGTCACAAAACACAATCGTAAATATTGCAAATTTTCTTCAATTCATTATCTTTTTCTCTCGTTATGTTCGGTTTCTTCGTATTTCTTCAATCAATCTCATGATTTTTCCTAAAGAATTTTTTTTTTGTTCCAGTATCCATTGACTTATCACCTAAAATAGAGTATGAATAATTGTTTTTTTCTTCATTTGTGTCATAAACCTGCTCTTATGTCATATAGCGTTATAATATATCTGTTTCCTCTCTTAAACTTTAGGCGATTTTTCTCCAATTCTGTTCTTCATTTTTCTTCTATTTTTTTTATATCTCAATTGGGTTAAAAACATTTTGATTCAATAAATTTCTTCACATTTAATTTTTTCATTTGTTATCTGACATTTAAATGCTACGTTATTCTTGATATTGTTGTGTTTTTCTTCATCAATTTTTGTTTTCTTATTGTGGAATTGTCACAACGATACTGTCGCAAATACAGAGACTTCAATGTAGTATTCTTCCATTTATGTTTATTTAAGTTTGATAAATATGTGTGTTGATCTTTTTGTGCAATACCATTTATTTGCTGTGTGAATGTGTGTTTTTTTTGTTCTATCCATTTATAGTATTTTATCATGCTTTTTTACTTGTTTACTTTAACTTGCAATTTTGTGGGTGGGTGGGGGGTGATGGTTGATTATATGATAATAATCGGATGTGTTTTGACTGTGTCAATGGCAGCGTTTATTTTCGATTCAATTTTATGTGATGAATGATGATTTGACTTTACTTGAATATCGTTTATCAATTGCTTAAAATAAACTACATTAACATTCTTGCTGTCTGTGTATGTGTGATTGTTGGGGAGGGAGGAACATTTGTGAATGTGTGTGAATTCTATGTGCATTTTTAAGATTATACAGATAACAGATTGCATCAATATATTTTATGTTTATTTATCTAGATAAAGAATGTAAACTCTTTTCGATCGAAATCGTATCTCATTTTCAATAGAATTTTCTCTTTTTTTTTTCTTCACATTGAACATCACGATTTTTTTCCAATTGCACACAAAAAGACTACGTATTACGTATTCACTTTGTCATGTTTTGTGTGATTTAATATACACAAAGATATATATATATATATTTGTTTCTCAATAATTTTTTTTGTTTACTTTGTTTCAGTAGAAGTCAACACCATTTTACGTTTTATCTATATATATAATATTCGTTTACGCTTAATTCGTTTAAATCACTAGACTAAAAATTAATTTGCAAATTTTCTTTTTTTTTGTTTGTTTTTCTGTTTTGTGTGTATCGAAGCCTTTAGAAAACTATTTTGCGAACTGAACCAGTGATGAAAAATCAAATAATATTCGAAATAAAGCGAAAAAAATCAATATAAATTCATAAATCAACAAACACAATATTCGAATTTCGAATTTAAAAAAAATCAAACTTAATAAATAAATAGAAATAAGAAAAAAAAATATGTAAAATGTAGATCATCGTATGTATAATTTCAAATTATATAAAAAATGGAAGAAGAAATTGTTTAGGGTGCAATCGCATCAACTGAATGACTTTAGGCCGAAAAAAATTCTGTCACACATGCTTTTTTTTACAATACAAAATATCTATTCCGCTCTATGCGTGTGTGAGTGCTTAAGCTAAACAAATTTGTTTTTGTCTAACAGTGTGAAATTTTTGTTTCCGATTTCTTACATTGTACAAATCTTCAAGAAAAAAAAACATTCAGTTTATGTTCCGACGCTTCAAAATGCCTTAATCTTCTAATAGAATATAATATTCATTTTTCTTGTTGCAGATATTACATAATACACAGAGACTATTTTTTCATTTTCGACACATACATAAAAATGTCGGTGTCCATTCAGTTGTTTGGCCTAATCGATGCACCTAGCCTTTATTTTATTTTAAATTTTCACCTTTTTTCCCGACATTTCAATCACTATCAAAATATTCCAGTAAATTGTTTTGAGTTCATCAATTCGTTTAAAATGGTGTAATATTTCCTAGGAGCTAGTGAACATAGTTAAATTTTGCGCAATATTGTGTTTGTTTTACTTGATAAATTTATATATTTTCTTTTACATATATCAATCAATCGTACGCCGATGCGAAATTTTTGGTGGAGTTTAACATGCAAAAACAATTTCAGAGTGCAATGTTTGCGTATCGAATTCGAAATTGGCGGTGATGGTCGTGTGTGATCGATTTTTCGAAAAAAAATGTATTTTATTTGGAACTGGTCAGTTAGAATATTTAATTTAATCATGGGCACGTTCAGTTCGCAAAACGTACCCGAGGCTGTTCTCAGACAATGATTTCCCGTATGACACGTCGATTTCTTGAATTTGGCGTCGAATAACCGCTCTCTTGTATTCCATCATCATAGCTGTGTGATAAATGCTGTTGTGGTGCCGAATTCGGATCATCCACATTCACTTGTTCCATATACGATTCAGGAAGACCGCTTACATCATGATATGGCGAATCTATAAGCGAATCGAAAAAAAAATCGGATTTTGTTGAATATCGATGATTTGGCAATTTTTGCTTTTTATTTTTGAAAATGATATAATCTGTTTAACCTCTTGAAAACATGAAAAAATGCAGAAATCAAATAAACTTACCTAAATGATCGAGCCGTTTTTTGGGCTTGTGAACGGCTGCATATGGATCGCTGCAATAGACTTCTTGACGTGATGGATTTTGACTGTTGCGCATGGTTTGATAATCGTCACCGCCATGCTGACTGTGTGTTGCGGCCAAATGTGGATATGGTGCATAATCATCGATGGCACCATAACCGGCATGAGCCAATGGATCATAACCATATGATGCTTGTTGATCGACATACTGGTGTTGTGGCATTAAATTTGCTGGATTGCCTGCAGCTGCTGACATTTTCATTTGCCAAATCGAATCCTGTGAATTTACGCTACCGCCATTGTTCGAATTTGAATAACTATTATCCATGTAACCTATATTCGCCCCTATATTATTCGTCAAGCGCACCAAACGAACAAATTAAATAAAAACAAATAAAATTATATTAAAAGCTTGTACCGGAGTGCAATTTTAATTAAATTTTTATTAGGTTCTGGTGTGCAAAAGTGGAATATATATATAATATATATACTATTATTATAAAGTTCCGTATACGGAATGAACTGCGTGCTTAATTCAAGTGAACTGGAGCACATTATTATTAACAATGCAAATAAAACTAAAAACCAGAGAAGAAAATAAGAGAGAGAGCGTGCAAATGGCTTTTCAAATTTTTAATAATTGAGAATGAAAAACAAATACAAACAGAATCAACAGCAGTTTTTCTCACATTTTAAATATAAATATACGTTTTGCCTAGACTAAATTTGTGCTGCTACGGATTCATAAATGAATGGCATAAATTAAACAACGGTGACAATTTTCGCCGTTGTTTTTTTGTAAACCAAAAAAAGGAAGAAACAAAGAAAAAAAAAACATCGACAACAGACATATAAAATCGCGTCGAACAAAATATGACACGAGCAAAACATAATGAACATAAAAAGTGAGAACTCACAAATTCCGTAATTCAACAACAAGCACAAAATATAATAAAATGTCGAAGTTGAATGAAAATTTTCCGACATGAGTATAAAAATGTTTTGGCCAGGAAAAAAAATAATAACAACAAACGAAAAATTCGATAAATAAATCTACAATACAACACACACATTGACACACTCAATCAAGGGACAGAGTAGCGGCCAATTACCTGTAATTGTGAACTCTGTAGTTGTACTAGCTAGTCCTGCATTTAAAAAAAATGTACCGAAGAAAGTTATATAGGGTTTTTGATGATTTTGTGTTTGCGTGAAGGCATAATAAAAACAAAACAACACATACAAAGAAGTAAAAAAAAATCGGAACGAGAATAATAACAATTTATGAGCATTGTTGAATTAAAAATATACAGAGCACAGAGTGTCAGAAAATGGAAGGGAGGGAAAGAGAGAGAGAGAAAAACAAACAGAAACGTATAACAACAGAAAACCAATGAAATAAATACTGTTGACAAAGCTCTTTTGAACTACAACTGGAATGGAATTTATTAGGTGCACATTTATTTATTCGGTTGTACATTTTTTTTTATTCGTGGGGTGGCCGCATTTTCATCCTATGCTCAACAAAGAGCCAGCGGTTATGAAAAGACAAAGAGAAAGAATGAAGCAAAGAGAGTCAAACATAGAGCCAAATAATAATTTGGCTGCCAGTTTTTTTGTGTCTGTTTCATCTGTGCAATTTGCACCAATGACAATGCAGTGTGCATCGTTCCGAAAGAGATTTTTTTTTGTTTTCATTTTTATGTCCTTTCTTCTTGTTTAGTTTGATTAATATTTTTGATGGAATTGCATTTTATTTTGCGCAACTCGCGTAGAATAAGTTTCATTAAAGTGACACCGTCAAACGACATACTGAGGCACACACAGAGAGAACAGAGATGCTACAAGTTCAAATCTAAAGGTAATTTTACATTTTCTACATCGCCAAATACAATGAGCTTGCCCTCATTTTCTAGATGCCATTTAAATGAGATGGTACATAGACACATACTCAAAAAGAATTGTTCACATTTTTCCAAATGACATAATTTTATTCATCAGGAGCATATTCCAGAGAGAAAGAGAGAGAGTGAGAGAGAGAGCAAGAGAGAGAGAGAGAACGGGGATGGACAATTTAAATCAATTGTCATTGATAGAAATCGATTTAGTGAAATATATTTGCAACAACAGCTGCTACCGACGAATGAGTAAATATTGTTGTGTAATATCATATTTGTGTGCGCCTACGACAAAAAGAATTATCCGACTATATATCGCGATAGTGCATACATTATAAATGATGTCATTTTTTTCCAAATTGCGTTTACAATGCTTTGCCTCATTGTTGATTGAATTGGCAGCCTGAGCACCACTTTAATCGGTAATATTTATTTATTATTATAATTAGCAATTATAAAATTATTTTGTGTCACTTTTTTGCTGCATCTCGGTTGAAATATTGACCCAAATTGATTTGATGATATCGCAAGTAAAATAAAAACCCTAAATGAGGCAAACAATTGTTACAAAAGTGGAGGTCTGGGCTATCGAATTGATTAAATGATTTTATGAGTGATAAAGTCAAAATTGGTCGTTTTTCATCGACCAGAAATAATTCTATCGATGACAAAAATTGAATAATCGGCACACCGACGGCGATGGGATACAAACAAAAACAGCGGCATAAAAATCATTGAGATTGGGATGCTGCATGGTACTGCGAATTCATTAAACAGAGGATTTAATTTAAATACAATGATGTAGTTTATCTGCGATTTTGTGTCTGGTTTATTGCTTTCCTTGCCCAGTCTCTCTGTTTCATTCAATTGAAGTGCATTGAATCGATTTTGTCGATAAATTGGCATATTGTTTGGCTTGAACTTAGTGTGTGTCCAGTGTCCATAAATGTATTTTCTCAATGAATGCGCGTGAGCGCGAATGACTTTACCACCCGAAAATTTCATTTCGTTGAATTTGTTTTAATTAAATACGTTTTCAATGGCCAGTGGGCGCATGAAGTTTTGATATGAGAATCGGTTGTACCACATTTTGTTTTATTTTCGATTTTTTTTCGGGTTGTATGTAAACCACGCACAATTTCATTTCAAATGGAGCGAACACGGTAGAATGAGAAAGTGTGGCCAGTGTATGCGTGATGAATAAATACTTGGTTGTGCATAAATGAATGAGCAGTGACAAGAATCGAATTATCACCATTTTTATTGGACACTTTAATTCTTCCACTCTTTTCATATGTATTACCTTGTTCCGAATAAAAAATCTATGAAATTTCATTAAGCCGAAATTTATTTAACGTTTGCATATATGTACGCCACTCGCTCTAGCTCACTATCGTTTTTCACATTAAATGCGCTGATTCCAATGGCGTTGAATTATTATGGAAAATTTTAAATGAATAATTTTACCCCATTTGCACAATGCTAATAACAATTATATATGATTGTGGTCACATCACGTAGCGCAAATTGAAAATAATAAATATCCGAACAATGAGTTACTTGGCTGGTGAAAATGAAATTATCATCAAATGACATGGGGCACCATTGGCCACATATATTACATGTAAATTCGATTGGATCATAATAAGCATTCTTTTTTTTCTACGATATAAGGGAAAATATGATTTTATGTTTTTCATAGTTCTCTCTCTATCTATTTTTTTATAATGTGAATGTGTATAGTGTATACATTTAATGAGATTCGCGTATGACTATATTAAAATCGATGCAGACCATCATATTTTATCGTTCAGCCATCCATTCACTTTAAATGGACCTCATGGAAAATCAATTTTCTTTTCCCCTTTAATTGACAAAATTACACTTCAATTGAATCATTTACATAAAATTTTCATCGAAAAACCACTACATTAACGAATTTTTTTTTAATGTCACAGCACAAAAATATGCTTCTATTTTTTCAAAAGAACTTATGAACAAAAACAAATATTGTAAAAAATGATCAAAAACTAATTAGTTGAACGGGAAAAAAATGATCCACACAAAATAAATTGGAAAAAAAGTGCGGTTTACTTACAGTCATTATTTGTCATTTGCTGATTGGAAACTGAGTGTTGTGGGTGGTATCCGTATCCGTTTTGAGTGGCATAAACAACTTGTTTCTGATCTTCCAAAGTTAACGCTAAATCCATTGAGTGTTCAAGTGCTTTGTTTTCCAATCCACTTGTTGGATAATATGGTGGTGGTGCTTGATTTTGTTGTGCCACAATTGATGGTCGCACTGAATCCATTTCGTAGTCTTTTACTTGAGTGCCCTTCTTCGTTTGGTTACGCTTGCAACGGCAGAACATCAAAACCAATAAAATGAATAAAACGAACACAATCACGGATACAATGATTGCAATCAATGTTGGCGTTGCAATCGCATTTGCCTCAGCGATATAATTGTTGCCGACTGAAAATGAAAAATAAAAAAAATCGCAAAACATCGATTAGGAACAAATAATTTGTAGAGAAAGTAGGGTAAAAGATATTATTATTAAAATGAGGTTCAAAGAAATTCAAAGGAAAAAAACGATTAAATTAAAATAGAATAAAATTGAAGATAAACAATTCTAATGAGGAAAATAACACTGAAGAGGAAAATTCAAGTCAAGAAGGTATTTGAGTTGAGAGTTTGTAGGTGGAAAGGAAGAAATTATACAAAAGATAAATAAATAAAGTGGAAAATTTGCTTTTTTTTCTCTCTCGTGAAAACACTTACCTTCAGCTTCGGCATATTCGCCGCAACGTTCATGATTGGCGCGGAGACATAACTTAACGCGAACTCGTGGATTTGTATCATCGTTGAGTGGTGGGAAATCATCATCAGGAATACCAAGTGAACGGGCGCTGCTGCGGCGTGCCGTTACCAAATGTTCGATGACCGTTTCTTTGTGTGAAATGCCGTTGCCAGAGTTTTGCAATTGAATTGTTTCGACAATTTGCCAGGCGGCCATCGGTGTGCCTTCGTTGATGATTGATTCAACGATTGCAATCAAAGACAAACAAGTTGGACCAACCGTAACACCCAATGTACGTGTTTTTGGATTGAATGCCACTTGCATTGGCATTGGAATGTGGTCGACTTTTGTGGTTTTCATAATTTCGGTTGAATATTCGGACGAACCTTTTGTATTGAGTGCCTTTACTTTGAACACATAGCCTTGATGTTGATCCAATGGATTTATGTTACATGGTACATTTTGATGACAATCAAATTCCATCCAATCGGTATTTGTAATGACATTTGTTTCACAGTCAGGTAACACTTGGTCATCATGTGGTGCTTGCACTTTGCGGTATGATACAAAGTATTTTGTATTGGCCAAACCACCATCGAATCCTGGATCCCAATTCAATGTGATGCTATTTGATGTACTATCATCGGCTCGTAAATTGTTTGGCTTTTCGGGTGATCCTTTTGGTTGTAAACGAATTGGTGCACGAATAGTTTCCAATGAATTTACGACACGGCACAAATATTCACCATAGTCTTGATGACCAAGACGATTGATTTTCAATACTGATGTATACACATCATTGTTATCGGTGGTTGTGTTTATTTCATATTTTCCATCTGATGACATCGACAATGGTGATGGATTCACACCGAATTGCCATTGAAATTCTGGTTTTGGATACGCTTGAACCTTACATTTGACTTCGGCATTTTCACGAATATCATAGGCAACTTTGTTGTATTGATGCAAGATGATAGGTGCATGTTCGATGCGTAAATGCATACTTGAATTGGCCGAATTAACTTCGTTTTGATATAAACAAGTGTACAGACCGCGATCACTTGGAATCAATTGATTGCTGCCCGGCCGTGATTTACCAGTAAAACGAATTGTACTTTGAACCGTTACCATGCCATTTGATCCTTCAGTTGGGATTGTTTGTGCGTCATATAAGTTTGTATCCATTGAAATTTCTTGGCCATCTTTCAACCATTTGATGATTGGTTTTGGTTTTCCTTTAGCACTGCACGTTGCCGTAAAATCTGGATCGCCAACTCGTCGTGTCATATGTTGCTGTAATTTGGCGGTGAATTGTGGTGGTTGATGCACTTCAAGTGTAATTGTTGCCATTTCACCGTGTCCAAGTTCATTGATCGCTTGACAATGATAGCGTCCTTCACTTCCCAAATGAGCGCGTGGAATAACATATTGTGAGCCTTGTGCAAGAATTGTTTGTGATTGAACTTCACCGTCTGAATCGCGGTACCAACGGTATTGTGGCACTGGCCAACCAGGTGGATTTGCCGAACAGGTCAATGTGACACCGTTGCCAACATGAACAATTGGTTTGCTTGGATTAATTGATGATTGACCTGGACGGTGACGCACCAGTAGAGCCACCGTTGAATTACCGACACGTTCAACTCGCTTTCCACCGTATGGCATCATAATATTTATAGCACGGCATACATATGTTCCGGCATTTTCAGCACGAACATCTCGCAACGTCAAAACATCTCCAGTCGAACGAAATTCGGGGCTTCCTTCTTTCAACCATTCAATTGTGACCGGTTCTGGGTTCGATGTTACATTACATTTAATATTAATTGTTTCATGTTCTTCAGTTTCGCGTGTTTTCGACTCAATAACCACAACGGGCGGATATAAAACATCCAACATGATTTCTCGTTCACCAATTTTACCCAAACCATTGTCAGCGGCACAAGCATATTTGCCAGCATCTTGATGGGTTACACGTGGAATTGAATATATCATTGATGAACTGATGAAACGACCGTTTCGTGTCCATCGAACATTGGTCACTTTTGGCTTAGCATCAACTTGACAATCCAATTTAGCGGTCGAGTCTCGTTCAACTTGCAACGGATTTTCTGGTCCAATTTCAACTCGTGGATAATCTACAGAAGAGGGAAGAAAATGAAAAATAAAAAAAAACGATTAGTTTTCAACTCAAATAATCATTGTTATCAATCAATTCATTTGCATTGGAGCGATTTTTTTTTTTTTTAATTTTTATTCTTATTTCAATTGATTTGATTGCGTAATAGTCACAACTGATTATTATCATTTGCGGAGTGATGCGGGCACGGATTTTATGGAGTGGAAAAGTCAAATCGATTTCTTCGGATATGCCGCTAATTTGTCGTGACTGAAAATAGCAATTTCCGTTGTCAAGAAAGCAATAGCGAGCAAGAATAGGAAGAGAAAAAAGAATCTATTCAAGTAAAATGACTATATTCAATGCAACTGTGTGTGTACGCTTTTGTTGCAACCATAATACAAATTGTATTGGCACATCAAAATAAATGAAAGGCAATCGGCTGCCACCAACACAGCGGTGCTGGGTGCGAACGCACACACACAACACAATAAATATTAAACTGACAATAACATTGGCTTCCATTTATTCGGCTTTTGTACGGAAAAACGTTGCATAGCAATGAAAGCTCAATCGTACCACATAGATACAGACCAATAATGTGCTCAGTGTTGTCTGTTTTCGCAGTGAAGAGAAGAAAAAAAAAACGCACACACGTCGACTAATGTTTAATTCTGTTGACTTCATTGCTTTTGACGGTGAATTCTTTTGTTTGCTCTTTGCGGGTAAATATGAGAGGTAATGTGTGTGTGTGCCGGTGTGCATCACATTCAATAATTCGTTGTTTCTTATCTGTTTGAGCTCTTTGTGAGCATTGAATGACGGCATTAAATGCACGCTGCTTTAGCTCTTGAGTTGGTTGCGCGTACACAAAGAAACGCGTGGAATTTTGTTATTCATTTGGGGTTTTGTGGTGAGGAAAATGCTTTAGTTATCTATATATTTTCTGTGTGAACTTCTTATCCTTCTCGCTGTATTTGCTTCTCTTCTCCTTCCTCTCTATCTCTCTTTCTCTCTTTCTTGTGTGCGGACTTATTGACGAGATAACTTCAAGTCGTTGTGTCGATTTTATTTCTTATTATTTTTTGAAAACTCCCACAAAAAAAACACACACACCGAACATTCGCTATACAAAGCTAATATTTTTTCCGTTGTTGTTGCTGTTGTTTTTCTATTTTTGTTCTTACAGCATGCGCTCGGAAAATTATTATTTTTCCCGGTCCCTTTTATGTCTTTGTGGTTTCTTTTCCGTTGCGCTTGAAACTTTGTTTTTGTGTTTCAATTGCTGTTTGTAATGGTTTTTGTCCCAGGTTATTACTACTTTTTTGTGTGTGGACTACTTGCAAAACACAAAACTCTCACTCTACGAGGTAGATTTTCGAAAAGTTTTGCTCTTACATTTTATTTATATATGTGTGTGTATCAGCGATAGAACTTGTTTCGGAGGTTTTTACAAATTTCAAATTGTCTGATTGTTTTTTTTTCTGTTTGGCACTTATTCTCTCTCTCTCTCTCTCTCTCTCTCTCTCTCTCTCTCTACCTCTTGCACATAATTCGAGTGTATGTGCATCATTTACGTCATATCAGGAAATCATATACGGACTTGTTTTCAGTTTCGACATGATGTTCTTTTTCCTCTATTCCAACATGTCAATTTGTAGTATGGTTTATTTTCAATTTGGATCTTTTCGGAAAGTTGTTCGTTTGCAGCTTAAGGCCTTCTTAAACGAATTTCCGAAGAGTATCATTGTTTTGGTCTTCGAATGACAAATCGCATTTGGTTGTATTTTTCCATTCTTTCGTTACATTCAACACGCGACGCAACAGTAACTGCACTAGCAGTGGAAGCCAACACGAGATTGTTCATTGACACACAATTTTCAATTATGAAAATATTACTTGTGGAAGAACACATGAGACACGCGCAGCGCTAACTGCAATTTTAAAAACCTTGCGAACACAGCATCAACAAAATTGGAAATAGAAAAAGGCGCTTCATGTTGACCGAGAGTTAAATTGGATTTTACTTAAGTTTGTGCTTCAGTGATGATCAGGGATTGTGCATCGAGTGCACAGAAAAGAAGCGAGAAAATGAAAACGATTGCAGCCGAAAAAAAAAAACAATGTTTTTGCTCAGAGCATGGAATAAGTTGCAACAATGTTTTCATCTCGTTTATAGTTTTGCCAAGTTTAAGGCTTTAAGAAGTACGCGAAAAGTGGCAGCTGTATTGTTGGCTTGGATTGGCTTAAGTGGAAAATTACTGCTCATGAGATATTTAAAACGATGCAAGTGAAAAAGAGACACAAAGAGAGAGAGACAAGAGAAAAGTACTCATACACATACACACGGATCGCCAAATCCAAATTGTATGACAAACAAAATGGCATATGAAAAAAGATTTGTCTCCATTTTTTATGTTTGCTTTCGTGCTTTAAACCGAACGAAAATTGAAATGCAAAAAATGAGAACGAGATCATAAACTTTGTTACGCGATAAATTGATACAAATTACAAACGGTGAATTTGTGTTTGAGCTAAAGTCGTAGTATATTTATATGAAACAAGTGGCCACATCAAATAAATTCACCGCAGTTTCTACACGATGTTATGTCATACACACACAGTACCGACCAAAGCAAGAGATCTTTTTAAGTATTTATTTATGCAATTTGAGCTTGTAAACACACAGGAAAATGGAATGACACGCGTTAAGTGTACATGAGCCGGGCTTTTTACCGCGCATCTTTCACTCGCTGCTATCGTTTATTGCACAGCAATTTGCATAAATTCGCATAATTCATATTTTATGACTACATTAAATGCTGTTTCTTATTATGATTTTTGGAGTGAACAGAAAAAAAAGCACAACCATTTGCCAGAGTATGCATTAAGATTGTCTCTTACACACTTAAGTCGATATCTTTTGGCCTGACACCGAGAAGATTTTGTTGTTGTTGTTGAAATTTTAATGCTGTGCCGGGCAGCTTAGAAATGCGTCACAAATGTACACACCCATTCAAAATGTTCATTCGAATGGTTTTCTTTCTCTGTCATTTGTCCATTTTAATAACAACGCTCGTCTCACGAAGAAATGTGCCTACTCCATAATTTTTGTAGTTGAGCGCACGCATTTACAATGAAAACCATCAGGAAAAAAAATATGTTTGTTACATCGAGAAAAAATGAGAAATGAGCCACAGTTAAAAGAACAAAGACGACACTGTACTGTGTAATTAACACCTTTCAGCTGAATACGAATTGAAAAGCGTTGCCCAGTTGAGTGGTTCAAAACTATCGGGTCATTAATCAAAATCATAAACATTTTCATGTCTATTGGTCGTGCCATTGTATCGAAGCGAATAAAAAAAAATGCTGTACATTATTTTATGAGCCGATCGGACATTCGGGTTAAGAATGTGATTTTGAAATAGATTGGTTTTAGAACGAACAAAAGAATCGATTAAATACAAACATTTATTCTCTTTCTGGAAAAAATATATATAGAAAAAGAAATAAAACAAACCAGAAAAAGTAACAAAATCGAACAAAAGATGAAATATATTTGTGGCATTGATAAGCATTTGGTTTGTAGATCGATTCCTCTTCAAACAAGGCAATTTGTTTGATGCTTTGCTCTGTTTTCACGGTGTGAGTTTTTTTTTCTCGGAACACAATGCATACGTAAAAAAAGACTTGAAAATGATAAATAATAAATATTAAGTGGTAGAATGGCGTCAGAATTCTCGCATTTCAAAAGATTTATTTACGAGGAAAAAACGATCTCTGCTGTCGACTGTTTGAAAAATAAAATTGAACTTTGTTAAATAACTTGATGCTCACTCAACTTTTTCAATGTTGAACCAAACAAAAACTTGCAACAAAATCACAATTCCATAGAAAAAATATTATATTTTTTCTCGCAAAAAATGTGAATTTCATTCTATTAATAATTTTGCGTTTGGTTTTTTTCCACATCGGTCTCTTGAAATAACTTCATCGCCTCAATGCAATGCAATTGCAATATATTGAAGATTTTATAATTCCATGGAATTTTTACAAACAAACTTTCTATCAATCAGCGAAGAGAAAGATGTGAAGAAAAGTATTTTTGAATTGAAAGTAAAAATGATGGTTTCACAAGCTGCAAAATTGTGATAAGTTTTATGCCCGTGCGCTCTTGCAAAATGGTACCAAGCGAAATACAATTTCGAGAAAATGACAAACTCTTTTTTTTTTGCAACTAAGATGTTTTTTTTCTCATTCAAAAACTAATTGGGATCCGATTCGTTCGTACGACAGAATCACAAATCAGAGAGAAAAAGTGAAATAGAGAGCAAAAAAAGGGAAAAAATAACTGTTTGTGTATATGTAATTGGAATATGAATTGGAATGCGCCATTCATGTAGCTACAAATTGCCGTCGCAGATATCTAAAAGCAAAAGTGAATTTTCTATTGTCATGATGTCAAATGAATGTCGTCATTTTTATAAATGATGTCAAATAAATTCGGCGGAACATTGGATTTCATCGTTTGCCTGCTTGTGCAATTCAGTCAATGGCCATGCGTTTGTTTGTGCGTTCGTGCGCTTTCGTTTGTTCGTTCAGTCAGTCAAATAAACGCTTGTTAGTTTCCTCAAGTGCAATACACGACAATAAGTCGAAGAATGTTGCATTTGAAATTTGCCGCCTTTTGTGTGTGTTCACATTTACAGCAAATTTTTTTCCAATTCAACACCGATCGCAATAAAATCGTTTGCTAACTTGGAAATGCATTCATGTGGAACGAACAACGTTCATATTACATCGGCTTTGGCTTCCTTTTCCACGACGACAATTCATTCTATTTATTTTCACTCTTGTTTGTTTGCATGTGACACTGAGCAATAAATGCAATTGAAAGCATCATACATCAAAAACCCCTTCTGACAAAGCGGGCTCTTTTTTTTCGTTGTTGTTGAAGTGAATTACAGTTGGTCGACATTGCTTTTTAGTAATAGTTTTCTTACTTATTTCATGATT